CACACACACACACACACACACACACACACACACACACACACACACACGGGTTACCCGTTAATGACACAGAAACACGCTTCAAAACATCAGAACTCAGTGTTTCACACACAGACTGTACTTGACCACAATAATATTATTAAATATGTTTGGAGGTATACATCACTAAAACACATCCCTGCAGCTCAGGATGTCGCTGTGAAGGAAGGGGACCGCAGGGGAAGCCCTGCGGTCATGATGATTGGCTGACTTTCACTTATTTTTTTTGCAAATTTATCCTGATGTTAGTGGTATATAAATGAGCTATTGTTAGGTATATTATTGCGTTGTAAATGATTAAGAGGACACGGTTTTATTGTTAAATGCAGAATACAGAAGGGCAATGAGCAGTGTTTTGTTTTGTTCAGCTGAGACGCACTGGTTGCGTCTGGTTGCTATGATACCGAATATCCGCCAAAGTAAGTCAGCCGTGGCTCTGGACGAAGAGGAGAGGAGAGAAGAGAAGGCTGAAGCAGGTAGGGAGAGAAGGCTGGCCTGTCTACGTGTATTCATTTGACTTGTCCATAGGAATGTATAGCGGGTTTGGGGTTATTACGACGGCCGTACTGCAGCATTACTCCACACAATACTTCAAACTCATTGGCTGTCGGAAAAAACATTATCTCCATTCTGCAGATGTAGATTTTGATGAGCGATAGTGGTCAGAGTCACTGAGAAACATAAAATAAACCCTACCGCATCTACCACTTTCTGAAATATTTACATTGCATTTTGCCAAAATGTGCAGCGGTATCATGAAATGCATGTTGTGGTGCTCCCGTAGATTGTATAAGAAGTGGACGATGTCATCGTAAAGTCACCCATTGGTTTGTGAACTAACGTTTTGAAGTCTCGAGTTCGGTGATTTCGCCGTCGCCATCTTGGATTACGGCCGTCGCCATGTTGTTGTTATTCTTTGCAACCAATAAACAGAAGTGACCATATTCGGAATGCGGAGGAGTGACGTGCTGTATTGAAGAAGACTTGAAACTAGAGACTGAGACCATAAACTCATGTTTACAATGTTCACTGAGGTAATAAATCAAGAGAGAAGTAGAGTCATTTTCTCATAGACTTCTATACAACCAGAGGAGTCGCCCCCTGGTGCTCAGTAGAGAGAATGTTAGAGGTTTTAAGACACTTGCGCATTGGCTTCACTCGGCAGAGCCGGAGGTTGCTGCCTGGGTGCTACTCATTTAAGAAGGTGACGTGGTCCACATTGGATGCACGTCCAGGTGAGTGTTGAACAACCACTCACCTGGACAGGCAGTCTTGGCTGTCAGCAGTGTTGTTCAGTTTGTGGTGAACCACCGCGCCTACTGCCAGGGGCCCTGCGTCGCCGCACAGGAATGTCACTTTACGGCCGTTCAGGATCCTCATGGTCCGCTTCACGTAGTCCAGTGCCCTCTGCAGGTCGGTGGCCTCTTGGGACACCCGGTGCAGCTGGAGGTACAGCAAGGCAATGCCTGTGGTGAAGATAGTACGCCGGGGATCAGTAAACCTGACACAAGGAACAGGCGCACAGTTTTATAGTGCTGGCAACAGACCTGTCCATCCGGTGTAGGTTGAGAAGTCATGGGGGTCGGCGGTCCTCAGGCCCTCCTCCATCTGCTGGAGGAGATCTTTGATCTTATTCTGGACCTTCTTCTGGAATGATGCGCTCACCTGAGGAGGAGAGAGAAAGCACAATTATGAACTCTAGCCACCTCGACAGAAACAAGCAAAAAACTCATCAACGCCAACATGGATAGTCCTTCCACTGTTCCAACAATCACCAACTCTGGTTGTGTCGAAATAAACTCCTTAATTCAAAGAGTTGGATGTGAAAAGAAACAGCCATCATATGCACTCCTCAAAGCTACCAGACTCCATGGGCAAGAAGAGTCATTCTATCTCGCTTTTAATTGTGAAAAACACTTCAACAGAAACAAAATAAAACTAATCAAAACCGTCTCCGATAGTCTTTTCACTGTTCGAACAATCACCAACTGTAGTTTGACAGTTTGAAAGAGAGACTGAAGGCCTAAACACACTGAAAGCATCTAACGAGCGAAGAAAACCTTTTGTTTTAAACAGAAGAACAAGCACCAAAAGCGTTGTATCAAGGGACAAGTAAGGACCCAGCAACCAAAGCTGCAGGTGCAGTATGCTAGGGGTTAATGCCCAGAGGACATTATTTTATTAAAGAAATAAATTAAAATATAATAATAAAAAAATAATTTTTATGATATTTCAGTTAACCAGCACATAGTAGCCTAAAGGAAAGTACACAATGTATAACTTGTTAACACCTTTTGCTAGTTTTTTTGCGAGCTGGCTGTAACAATGTGGGACGTAGCTTAATTGAGCACGCTAACTGAGGAGATTTGATTCCATTCATCTACCTCCATTTATTCTTCATTGCAAAATATTTCTTTTATAAATGAGTTGGTCACTTTAAACCCTAAGTTTGCACACAGCCCACATTGTTGGTTCTAATCTTCTCAGTACTTTTCTCCATTCGTTAACTTGCTAGCGAGCTAATTCACCACATGGCACACACCACATTTGTATTTGACAAAATGATGGATTTATTTGGCAATATAATTGATTTTTGTCTTCAAAGAACGTTCTGTTTATGAACAAAGGGCTTACTCTTGTTAATCAATTGACTAATATATATTTTTCATTTCTAAAAAAGGTTTATGATTATGTCTGCTTATGATTTGGTAAAAGCGACTCGTAAACATCAATACTTTTAATAATGCACCAGGTTAGAGGGTTCCTTGTACAATTTGACCCATTAGATCTCAGAGAATCTATTTTATATCAAAGCAATAACGGTATTGTAACTGAAATATCCTTAATCCATTCACTATTTAATTGAATCTGCAAACAAATGGAATCGGGACCCTGTGACTCAGTGTTAGCCCTAGTTACCAATAACACTAACAATGGCAACTAGTTGTCCACGTATGCCAGCATGCATCTAAATAGAATTCAGATATCATTTATTTCATCATAGAGCATGAGCTTTTCTTACGGTGACATGCCCAAACGTCTGCTGGGAAATAGGCCGATGTGGAGCAGCTGGAGCCGTACAGATTCCCAAGCAGAGGTGCCAGATGCCACCCGCACAGATTACACCTCTGCCCTCCACAGCTGGCACCACGCGGTTACTAATGGCTTGATCTGGTGAGCGACAGAGACTGTTTTCATCTAAATCGGTTGAGTGAACCTGAGAGCAGCAGGTCCACATTTGCCTTGCAAATTCCAGAGGTCATAAAACGCCTGAAAGTGTGTTCTGTCGGTCGTGTTCTGTCAGTGAGGGAAAGCCTAATCACTTCTCAGATATCACCCAGGAGGTTATGACCCAGACTCTCCATCATCAGGATTCATCTCAGGAAACACACGATGTTAATTGGGTTATTTTCCACAAGGCTCAAGGCTCTAATTACCCTTTACAGATTTAACCGGATAGGTCAGACCATGCTTCAAAGGGTGGTTTAGTCGTGGATATTGAGTTAATTCATTCTCTACAAGCTCCATTCACATTCAGCCTACACTGTGAAGTGTAGAAGAGGATCTGGGGAGGATCGGGATTTCAGCCAGAGTCTCTCACGAGCCACCTCTTCAATCAAACACCGATTGGGAGTCCGGCAGTGCACAAAGAACGCAGGAGCTCTTTGTTGGACTCCAGGCCCATTTTTCTCCTATCCACTGGCCTGATAAATTAACAGGGACCACCTAGAGAACAGGTATCTCAGCTCTGGCCAATCTCTGCTGCTGCTAGTTCAAGCCAGTCGTGTGCACAAGCTAGTACCAGACTGCATCTTCAGCCATCATTTTACTCCCCACACAATGGGATACACGGTTGGGTACACTAACAGAGCCCTGCACCAGCAGTTATTGTCATTGTCAAGTGTTAGATGGCTGACCGTTACGGGTAGGGATTTTATTTTGGGTGGTCCCTGCTGTTAGCTTTATTAATCACTAACCAGTGGTTCTCAGATCTAGAAGCAGTATGGTCGCTAGGACTTTAGTTTACTTTATACATTACCTATAGTATAGTGTTGTTAGCTAGCTGCTGTGTGAGCCCGATAGCTGAGCAAAAGCAGCATTGAACGACGTGCAGATGAATACAGCTTTAAAAATGTCAACTTTATACAATTTTATAACACTTTATACAAGTGGACGTTACCCAGCATCCCCCACTCATTCTCTCTCTACACACAAACACACATGCGTGCGAGTGATGCGCCTAGTCGGGTCCCAAAAATTAACATTTCTGGTTAATAGTGAATAGGTTTCGGGTGCGTGACATAATAAGTCATTAATGAGGAAAAACAATAGCTCACAAGATTTCTCAAAAACAATCACTGCGGGTTCTGGAGTGAAACTCGTGTATATTTGCGATGTGTCACCAGAAGGCTGCGCTAGCAGAGTAGAGCTCTCCATCCGCTCCCAGCCGGCGACCTCTCGCCGCCACAAGTTAAAGGATCTTGGATGGCGTCGTTCTCTCGGACAGATAAAAACTATTTAAAAGTCTCCAGCAATAATCGGGCAACTGTTAAACTAAGCTAAACTCCATTGCGACCGGTCCTGGCTGGACTTGAACCGGCCACCCTCCCAACGGACTGAGCTACTGCCACACAAAACCAAAAACACAAGAGAGATAGGCTTCGTTATAAACATATTGCTATGCTCCAGGAAACATCGCCATCAACAGTCCACTCTAGTTTGCCTTCTGCTCCAGATCAGCTGCTTGTCAGTCAGTTTTCACGTTCAGTGCAGTACAAACAGAACAAACAGTCCTAAAGGCTAAAACCCAGAGAGCCTGACCAGAGTGTGCCCTCTGTCCTCAAACAGGAGGATTATGACGGAGTCGTTCTGTTCTCACTGCTGCAATCATCCACAGAACAACGCAGAGGCAGAGTGACAGACGGGATTGTTTCACATGAATAAATGTTACTGTTTAGCATAACAATGGTACGTTCAGAAAAGCCGAGAAGAACGAGAAGGGTGCGACTAAAAATCACACAAAGCTCCGCCTGCAGCTCCTACATGACACAGTACTATACACACGTAATAAAACACAATTCCTTGTTAGTACTATTGGGGTATATTTTTACACAGTACTAATGTTGGTTGGACCCAAAAAAAACACTGGTAGTGTTGTTCTTCTGAGAGCCTTGTTAGTAGATACCTCCAACAAAAAAGCTTTCCTGGATCCCTTTACATTGGCTCGCCGGCACCTGAAGTGACACGCCCCCACAACACGCCCCCACGCTCTCCATCAAAACAACTCGTGTTGCTGTTTGAGCAATTATGTGTCTGGACAACAAACGCTAAAAATCGAAAGTTCTCTCTCATAAAGGCACATATGGGACCTCATCGTGTTCCACTGATATTCATTTTCATTTTTCACAAACTACAGCCTCTAGACCAGGGATTCCCAAAGTGCACCCCTGGGGGTGCGCGAGCTGCCTCTAGGGGGTGCACGAGAGGAAAAATGTAATGGTGGTCTAATGGTGCAGTCCTGTCTCCTAAAAAGTATGTTCCCCCAAATCTAAAATGCATTCTCAATTACGTTTGACCATAAACGTATTATCTCCCTGATTACGTTTGTGTTTGACGTATTACAAATACGTTTCTCATCAACATATCTTTGCCATACTCTTCATTATTTTTCTGTGATCTGCCTCGCCTCTACCCCCGCCACCCACAAGTTGTTGCCCCGCGGCCTGTTCCGAGGGCTGACGGACCTGACGATGGGGTGCCTCACGGCGGGGGCGGCTAGAGACCCGGGGTGTTATAGAGGTATATTTTATTTATTTGTATCCATCTAACCCTAACCTTAACTTCCACTAGGAAGCCAAGTCCCCACCCAAACCTAACCCTAAAGAGAGTCACGGTTACTCCCGCATTTTACACGCGGGCCTTTGTGGAGGTAGTGTAGCCGCGTAATGTTCCTCGTTGATCGGCCTGGATGAGCGCATTTCTGCTGGAGACAGGCGGTGTGTTGTGGTAGTATTCTGACCGCGTAATAGGGAGAAGGAGAGGCGGTGGTGGAGAGGGAAAAAATGTTAAAGTGTTAAAACGTTGATTAGAAATGTATTTGTAATACGTCAAACACAAACGTAATCAGGGAGAAAATACGTTTTTGGTCAAACGTAATTGAGAAGGCATTTTAGTTTTGGGGGAACGTAATTTTTAGGAGACAGTGCAGTGAGGTTCTGGTTATCAGCTGTCTGAAGCCCTGTTATTTATGTCGCCACCTGAACACCAAGCATGCCAGTGCAAGTCAAAAGCCCCTTACATTTTTTATATCGAAATTGGAGGAGTTACAAAACAGCCCAAAACAACTGCAATCTCATTCATGTGTTGGGTCTATAAAACACGCACTGCGGGCTTCATATCTGGTCACAGAATAGCAAGAAAGGGGCTACCTCACACAATCGCCGAAGACGTGTGCTCGCCAGCTGCCAAAGAGATGGTGGAACGTATGATTGGAGAGAGAGAAGCAAACAAGTTGGACATGATCCCGGTGTCCAACAACACTGTGGCGCGCCGCATCGATGCTTTGTCCGAAGACATCCGGGCTACATTAGTCGGTCGCGTGAAGAAGAGTGAGTTCTACTCTCTGCAAGTAGACGAGCCTACAGATGTGGCCAATCTGGCCAATC